AATTGTCCACCTTAAAAAAAACTATTTTGTTTCATTCTAGGAAAAAAGTTCTATTTCCCTGTGTTTTTCTGATTTTAAAGTGTAAATTGTCTAAGGTAAAAACTGCTGAGTTACTTTGGACTTGCTAACAAGGTATACAAAATGCTTATTGGTTAAATAAAAGCTTTTAAATTTACTTATTGGATTGGACCTGTAAAGGTTAAGTTTCTTGTTAAAACTAATTAACCAGGTAAAATACAAAGTGGTAATACAGACATTTTTGAGCTAAATACTAAGCCTCAGATTTTGATAAAAGCCTAAAAACAGGCAGACTGTAAAAATTTACCTCTTCTCCTGTTCTTAAGATAACAGTGTTCTTTTTGTTTTAAAATATGCTCATTCTCAATGAAATAAAGCATTGACAACCTAAAGCCAAAGGATCATTTCTTAAAAATATAAACTCAAAAAAAATATTTTCTTATCTAAAAAGTTAATAAAAACTGCCGTGACTGCTGTGGTCTCGAAACCAAGGTCTTTGGTAATAATTAAGATTAGACATTTATTCTCTGCGCAGATTTTAGCTTTTAACTTATTAAAAACCTCAGTATCTTCATACATATTGGTAAAATAACTATGTTTTAAAATATATGCATATGGCCAAAATTTTAAATGTATATCAAGAGATCTCTGTGTCTGTTTGTGTCTGTCTTTGTGTTTTGTTTTGTTTTTTTTTTTTTTACCTCTGGAAGACTAATTACAAACGGCGCCTATATAAGTTCTCATAAAAACAAATTTTCATAATCCAAAATTTTTAATATACAAGAACTAGTTCAAATTTTATGATATAATTCAAAGCATATATGCCTTAAAGTTATAGTGTTAAACATACTTACATATGTAAATTTTTTTTTGTCATATTAACTTTACCAAGTGCAACTAAGCTATACTGTTTTTAAGTCAATTTTAATAATCTGCAATGTTTAAAGTAACATTTTGGGGTGGTGAACACACAAAGTACTTCCTTGTGTTCTGGACTACTGAAAGAAAACCACCATCATACCTGAAGGGACTGGTTTTCTTTCACACTGGAACCCGGTAAAGGGCCTCACACCGTGGGGCTGAAGATCTGGTATCCCTTTACTTTTTGTTTTTGGTCATAGAGAGAAAAAAAATATTATTAAAAAGTATATTGGGCAGTGAATAGTACGTGTCAGCAGACTGTGGGTGGATGGCGTGAAAAATTACCTGTTTAAAAATTAGTTATTAAACAATTTGGCCCACTTGACAATGGGAGACAATTTATTGTACATGCCTGACAAGCAATCCAGCACAATAATTCTAGCAGGTCCTTCTTTTGCCTTCTCTTAAAGTTTCTTAAAAAAGTTTTTAAATAAAGCTATTTAAGTTAAAAAGTTTCTAGGTAAAAACAAAGTTCTAATAGCTGAGTAACAGCTGGTCCCCGACTAAAGGCCATGCAAATAAGAAAAGTCTTTTCTTGCTTAGGCTTTAGCTGATAGGGATGTGCTGGTGGCTATCTACGGTCTTAGGTTATTGTTTAGCTAAAACAATGAGTTTTAGTGTAAGGCTTAGTTTTTTCACTAACCTTGAAGGTGCCTTCTTGTTAAGAGCACGTAGTGGCCAAAAGTCTATAAAAAGGGGATACACTAATTGTTTCAGCTTTGTTTCTATGTATATAATGATGACATCTCTTGGCTTGCTAAGAAGTATAAATAAAGACCCCGCTGAGCCCCTCAGTAGAAGATACTGGCACCTCACCAAGTGTCAGTGTCTCCTCATTCTACCTCATCCCCTTCCCCTCAGCCCCTTTCGCTTCACCTAGGCCATCTTTTCCTTTCACCGACTTCTGACCCGACATTTTGCCAAAAGCTGGTCTTCGGCACTTGCCCATAGTTTTTGGTATCAAAATCGGCCCTAGGTCCCCGACAAACCGTAGGGCCGAAATGTAGGAAAATAAAGTGTTAATGTCGTTTTGCCGGGGACATTGGAAGATGTGCGACCACCTTTTGGCCCCCTGGGCCGGGAGCCTGGCCAGCGCCGGGACCAGGAGCCAAAAGATAGGGCTGGTTATGTAACTGTTCGCGATGTCCAGGACCACCAAGAAATAGGTTGGTTATGTAAGTCCGGGCTTCGTGCACAGGAATGTGGCCAGCCCACCATGAACCCCTGGGCTTGGATACTGGCCATATCCGACCTTGGGAGAAAAAAACACAGTGGTCGCCTAGCTGCTGCTGCTCGCAGCTGGTGGACGTGGATATGTCTCCCATGCTGTTCTCCGGAGTGCTGACTTTTTTTGCCTCCGTGTTGCTGTTCTCCGGAGTGCTGACTTTTTGCCTCCGTGATGCTGGTCTCCGGAGTGCTGCCTTTTTGCCTCCATGATGCTGTTTTCCGGAGTGCTGACTCTTTGCCTCCGTGATGCTGATTTCTGAGGAAACTGTACAGTATGTATGCATGACTACCAGTTTGGTCGGGTTTGGGGCACTGTTTATAATTTTGCTTGTGCATCGCCTGTGTTGCTCACAATAAATCTTTTTTTCCTTTTAATACGGTGTGGTCATTGAATTCCACGGAATCGAGCCTCCCTCAAACACCTGTGCACAGGGCTAGCAATTATATTTTATTGCTAGTTACATATGCATACAAGAACTTGGGTGTAGGCCAAGATGTAGGGGTGAGAGGGGTCAATAGAGACTGAGTGGAGAGCAGCAGGAGAGACAGGGGAGGTCTGCTGCACCATGTGGGTCACTAACCTGACTGGGGGACAGAACTCATGCTACAGTGGCTGACCATATTGAGAGTGCTGTGACTTTAAACCCCCACACCATCAGGGAGGCCCATTTGTCTGAGTGAATTCATTGCACCTTTTGACTGCCAGTCCCCACACTTGTTGGCTCAAAGCTCAATTTGTTTTTCAGGAGAAAACAAGCAAGTAAAAGCAAGATCATAAAATACTCAGATAGACACCAAAATGATATTTTTTAATAATTAAAAAAATATATAATTACCACATTTTCTGAACTGCAGAAGTCAGCTGGAGCAAAGTACTCTAAAAAGAACAGATTTTAACTTAATTGTCTGGTGGGCAAAGAATTTGAGAAAAAGGAGAGGACTGCACTATTGAAATGTTGATCAACATCAGGCAATATTAGGGAACTACAGCTGAACTATTTGGGTCTAGTCACTGCATTCAATGGATTCTCGGGCAATTCTGTTGCTTTGGGTCCTTGTTTTCACATTTAATTATTGACATTCCTTACCACCCCTCAACCAGATTCATACATTTCAAAAAGTATCTAACAGGGGTATCTAAAACGTTTAGGGAGTGGGCCTCCTTGGTTGTCTCAGGGTGAAGTCTCAGCCCTGTCACCACTGCAGCCTGAGATCAATCCCGGCTTGGGAGGAAACCCACATGGCGCAGCAAACCTCTCTTGTTTCACCTGCCGCTCCCCTCAGCAGCGTATTTCAGTAGATCTGGCTGTTATTCTCTCAACTTTGTCTCTGGTGTATCCTGTCATCACCCATTCCTCTGGCCTACACCAAAGTTATTCCATGCAAAAATAAGTACGTTTAGGCTAAGAATTAGACAATAAGAAAAAGAAAGATTCACATGAGATAGCAATCTTATCAGTCAGGTTTATATGTTAATGTTCACCACATAGGTTTAAAGTGTTCTTAGACACCTTACTAAACACTTAAAAAAAAAAAAAATTCTCCTGAATCCGACTCTGGAGGAGAGAGAGAAGCATTCTGTTCTGTAGTGGGAGAAGGCAGAGGTGGCTCTGCCTCTGACCGTATGGGTCATGGTAGGGGACTGGGGACTCACACTGAGGTTCAATTGGGAGCACTGTCCTGTTTGACCAAGCAGAGTGGAGGCAGAGAATATAGGGCAGGCATGAGTCGGTCAGGGCTCCCAGCTCTGTTGTGTCTGTGGGGGACACTGGAGGAAAGGGAGCCTGTTTAGGAGGAAGAGAACCCCTGAAGAACAGTCCTCCAAGCAGTACCTTCCTCTCTGAAGAGGTCTCCCATTCCCCTTCATCAAGGAAGCAAGGGCTTGCTTAAAGTAAGCCATTTTCTTTGAATTGAGTCAGTCACTCATCTTCCAGCTCCTGCTCTTCTGGTATTCGTCATCAGTGACAAGGAAAAGAACAGTTCCATACTGGCCAAGAGATCTTGTCAAGTTCCATACTGGCAGGACAAGCCAAGTGGATGGGGAAGCCAGGAGAGCCCTGCCTAATCCAGTGGAGGGCCAAGTTTCACATCTACTTCAGTGGAGCCTTTTATAAGTCCAGCCCTCTGGGCCTCTGGCTGACCTGCTTTGAGCTTGGAATTAATAACGCCTCCCTCATTATAAGCAACATTTTAGTAGACCCCAAAGAGGAAAATATGAGGATCATTTAGTGTTCTCAGAGCTTTACACACCTCTACAAACTCTGGGCTGAGGATCACGTTTCTGGCTTATGAGTGGAAAATTTGAATGAGACAGACGAAATTGCTTATGCTAGTTGTTACACAGCTAGTAAGGGACAGGGTTGGGGGTTATTTCATCAATTATTACAGCATCAAACCATTTCCATACAAGCTGTTACACTTTCTAGGTATCCGGCCCATCTAGGTTTCTTAATATAAACTGCTGGCTAGCAGTCATGTGCCAGGAGATAGCTCACAAATTCTGAGGAACTCCAGCATCACCTTCTACTCCCAGCAGTCAAATCAACTCCTGTTCCTTTCCACAAATGTCCCTGTCTCTGCCTTCTTGGTTCACACATAAGGACACTCTGCTCAGGAGATACATTTCCTCCCAAAATTGCTCAATATTTCTTCGTCTTCAGGAAAGAAACTGGGCAAAACCCGGAAGCCCAGTGTAGTTGCACAAATTCTTAGAAACTAGAATTGCAGTGACAGATTTAAGACTTGTTAAGATTCAGAATATGTTAATTTATTTTCAAGAATAGAAAGATGTTTCTCCAGTAATTCCAAAGGGAATTACTGCACACCATAGCACACCCATTTTTATAGCACACCCATTTTTATAGCAGCATTATTTACAATAGCTAAGATCAGGAAACAACCCAAATGTCTAAAAACAGATGACTGGATCAAGAAGATGTGGTACATATACACAATGGAATATTACTCAGCAATCAAAAAAGATAAACACATGCAGTTTGCAGCAACATGGATGAAGCTAGAAGGGATCATGCTCAGCAAAATAAGTCAGAAAAAAAGAGAAAAATACTGGATGGTCGCACTCAGGGCAGGAACTTAGAAAACCTAAATAAGAGACCAAGAAAAAGATTAATCAATACAAAGTAATAATCAAAATCAACAAGCAACTATAAACCAATGACAAGGTGGGGGGAGGGAGAGGTGAGGAGAGGAGGAACTAGAGTCAAAATAAGGGGGGGGGTGCAATCGTATGGGGAATATAACCAAAATGAAAATTCATACATTGTGCAAAGATGAAAAATGATGTAAGAATTATATAAAATAAAATATTTTAAAAAAAGATGTTTCTCTACCATGAAAATGTACCTAGATCTACATGACCAGTGAATTCTTTGGTGAGCCCAATCTAAAATGGTGGGCAGTTCCCTTCAGTGCTTTGTGATCAACCATTGGGTCTGCTACAAAGGGGGCATTAAATACTTACCCATGTTTATCTATCTAGATAAACATTCCAACAGGGAAGCCAGAAACGAAAGAAAGACCTGCCCGCGCAGCTTGTGATAAGGCCGTCACCTCCACCCTCAACACACACCCCCCGGGGAGCAGCGTGTGCCCCAAGACCCCGTGGGAAGGGAGCCCCAGGTCACTTCTCCGGAAGACCACACCCCCGTCCAGCCGCAGGTGGACGGGTGACGTGCCCAGGCCAGGAAATGCAAACTCCCCACCCGGACACCCCTCCCCGCGCCAGCCGTGGGCAGGCGGCACCCCGAGGGGAACAGCCCCTGCGGCTGCCAGATGCCCGCCCACCCCACCGGGCCGAACAGAAAGGAACCCTGCCAGAACCGCGTAGGGGGCGCCAGAGTCACCGGAGGCGAAGTCCGGCCCCGCTCCCCGCTGGACCCTCTACATTCCCCCTACCTTATTTCTAGCTGCTGCGCTTGGCCCTCTTCTGCTCCTGCTCTCTGCCGCAGCCTTCATTTTCGCAGCCCCGGAGCTCAGATGTGCCGGGTAAGCAGGCCCACCGCTCCCGGCAGGTGCCCACCCTCGGGCAGCCGACGCGGAGCCCTCACTCCCAAAGCCCATCGTTTTCACAGCCGCAGTTTTGCCACAAAGGCGGTCGGGGCAAACCCTGAAAGGAAGCAATCTTCCCTTACCCCCCCGTACCCCGCCATTTGCTGTCTCTGGACATCTCCGGGGTTTCTCTTGGTCAATGACCCCTGCAGCCATGACCTACACAGGTGAAGGGCGCAACTGCGCGCACCCTCAGGGCAGACACAGCAGCAACCTGTTCCTTCCTGACAGGGCACCCCCAGGGCTGACTGAGGCGCTCCTTTGCACGCACCCCCTTTGCTCGCTCTCGATGGCCCCCACAGCTCCGCTCCCTCCAGGGGACACTGCTCAGTCTCCGCTGTCCCATGAGGGGCATCTGGCTCTTGGGCCTCCTCCGGGCTGTGTCTCAGCACAAGCCACCCTCAACCCCCACCCCCAAGTGTGAGCACTCTGAGGTCTGAGACCCTCAGCTCTCTTGGGGGGACCCGCCCAACCCCAGGGGTACTCACTGCCATCCCCGCCGCACCAGGTCTCACCACCGCTGCCAGGCAGCCCCTGCCTCAGGCCAGCCCTTGGCCCGTGGGCACGGCCTGGCCATGGGGACCGCTCTCCCCGCAGGGCCTCTCCAGTCGCCTCTCTCTGCCATGGGCTCCCCCACAAGCCAGGGCCCCACCCACCCCGAGCTTCCTCGGGCCCTCACCATCGCTCTCCAGCCAACGGGCCTCGCCCAGAGGTGCCACGAGGAGGCTTCGCTGCTCTGGGAGCCCCGCGTCTGCGCCCCCTCACATTCAGGGCTCCGGACATCTGGGGCCCGCCTGTGCTGTGCTGAGAGGCCTTTTGAGACTCTGCCACCTGCTGCTGAGAACCTCCCCCCAGGCCACTTAAGGCCACCCGGACTCTCCTCTCCCGAGGCACACAGAGGATCCCCGCGCTCCCGGTCCCAGGCACCACGGAGAAGGTGTCCCCCGCCCCAGCCCCCATTCTTTTGGCAACTTTGTAGTGACAGATGAATACCAAGCATTGTCTAGCAAGATAGCAGACTCATGGTTCAGGTATGAACAGGCCTGTGTGACTCAGAGAAGGATCAACATCGTCCTTCCCAGGGCATCCCTCACTGTAAGGGGGCATTGTGCCTGTATGTGGCCAATCTTTGGGATTTTAATCCACCTACATGGGAGCCATCAAACTTCACACATATTAGCTTGGCCATTGAGTCCATTGCAGAGGTGCATCCTCTGCAATGCATCCTCCCTTGTTTCAGGGTAATAAAGTCTCCGTGGAACTTGCTGATGCTTCTGCTGAACTAAGTCTAGGCTCCAGCTGGAATTCACGCTACATCCTGTCTAAGACACTACTCCTAACCACACAGACAACTCAGCACCGGCTAGCCCCTTAGGGTGTTCTGCCTCTCTCCCTCTCACATACTACTCACCTGCCCTCTCCTGGTCCTCCCATAGGGAATGGAGCCTCATGATCACCATATCTCAGGCAGAGAATTTGTCCTCACTCAGAATTATTAGACTCCTGTTGAGAAACCTGACCTAATATTATTTGTAGATAGTACAACCATATGACCATGGGGTATCCCAAACTGCTAGTGGGTGTGCGTTCTAAGGCTTCCGACCATCTGCGTGGACAAAAGCAAACAAAACATCTTAGTGTGAAATATCTTTAATAAATTTGCGGTGCATAGAGACAAATAATAAAACTAATAAAGACTAATAAAACTCCAAGTATTACACATCCCTTAATGGATATTGCCCAGCCAAACAGTTCTTGGCCAAAAGGAGCACAGTTGAGGCCCAAAAGCTTGTCAAAAATCATCATGGTGGCAGGATAATGGGTATTATCTGAATTTCTTCATGAAATCCCCATAGTAGCGAAAATGGTTGTCAGACATTTCTGCCCTCCCACCATTTCTGAACAACTGTATCATCCTCTTCAGACAAGAGATCTTAGCTATTGGAAAAAACAGAAGAGACAAACTGTTCGTGAGCCTGGTTGGAAGCACCTTATCAGGGAGGACTAACGACAGTGTCACAGCAGCAGAACTCCGGGGAGTTAATCATTGGATTAAAGAATGCCGCAGTCCAGCATTACCTCTCAAGTCCCTGCTTCGGGTGCCACTTGCCAGGGACCAGCCTCCCACAAAATGTCGTGTCAGGAGTTCCTGAAAGGATGAGACGGCCTAGGCTACATGTTAGGGGCTAAAGGGAAGGGGATTAGGTAGTGAGAAGGCACTGACACTGGATGAGGTGCACATATCTTCTGCCGAGAGACTCAGCAGGTCTTTATTTATTCATTTTTAGTAATCAGAAAAATTACATCATCATGTGCAAAGCAGAAACAATTAGTGTGTTATATTCCCATGGACTACTGGCTCCTATGGGTTTCAGCTAGATGGTAGCCTTCAAGGTTAATAGATTAAAAAACCAAACCTAACAATAAAACTTATTATTTCAGCTAGACAATTACCTAAGACAGTTGACAGCTGCCAGTGCTTCCCTATCAGCTAAAGCCTAAGCATCAAAAGACCATTCAATTCATATGGCCTTCAGCCGGAGACCAGCTGCTACTCAGCTATCAGAACTTTTTCTACCTAGAAACTTCTCAACACAGTTAACTTCATTTAAAAACTTTCCTAAGAAACTTCTAAATAAAAAGGAACTTCTCAAAAAGCAAAAGAAGGACTTACTATAATAGTTGTGCTGCTGTGCTTGTCAGATATGTACAATAAATCGTCTCTCATTATCAAGCGGCCCAAATTGTTTGATAACTAATTTCTAAACAGATAATTTTCCGTGCCATCCACCCAGAGTCTGCTGACACGTACAATCCACTGCCCAGTATACTCTCTAATATATTTTTCTCTCTCTATGACCAAGAACAAAAAGCAAAGGGATGCCAGATCTTCAGCCCCACGGTGTGAGGCCCTTTCTCTTAGCTGCTTGTCAGTATCCTATCTGGCTGGGGCAACAAGACCCCCTGCAGCAAAAGAAGTCTCCTGCCCAGCATTTTACTTCATATGACAAACAACTACAAAAGGGCTAAGGCTTTCAAGGGACACCACGATCCCGGTTCATTATCCCCACGTCGAAAGACTTCCCATTTCTTGTTCTGTCTGTTCCTGCCACACGCTGAACAGCTCAAACCAGGAAAGAAAGGAGTTCCATCCCCTGAGCCCTGGTTTGAGGACCCCAGGCACAGGTTTCACTGTGCTCTGTCCTAGGAGCTGAGGGAAGATGAGAGGGTCTGATGCTGTCCAAGTCTGTTCTCCAGACACAGAGATGGCTCCCAGTTCCTGCCTCCACTCGGCCTCCAGACCCTCTCATCTTCCCTCAGCTCCAAGGACAGAGCACATTCTCCAGATGTCCTTCTCCAAATTATGAACCTTGAGTCTTCTTTTTTTTTTTTTTAATTAGTGGTCAGTTCTCATCCACATAATAGTTTTTAAAGTGAGACAAGTACGTAGGTAACCAACCTATAGAGCTTGCTTGGTGACTCTTCCTCTGTGTAGTAACAACCACACAGGGACACATTCCTTATTCTTTGGTCCCAAACAGCTTTGTTGAAATTGGTGTGGGGGTGGACATCTGGACCACCGATCTCATTCATAGGTAATTGCCTTATCTCTCTGAGTGCTGAGGGACATGCTTGATACCCCATGTGTCTGGAGATGGTGTGTTGTCCACTCAACACCTCTTTGATGGCAGAACGGTCCTTCTCACCACCTTTCCTTGCAAGAACCACTCTGAATGGCCCAACTGGGAAAGGAAGGCCCAGGACCATCTAAAGGGAGGTCAGACATTGTCCAGTGCATCTGAGCGAGCATAAACCAGACATTGATAAGAGCCCAGGAGTGGTGAAGATGACACAACAATGAAGGACAAGTCTCCTGAGCTCTGTCTCCTTTATTGGCCAAGGGCACCAAGACCAGCTGGCTCTCTGGTATCAAGGAGAGGTTATTAGTCATCATTTCGTGGAAGGAGCTAGAGTGGGAGGAATTCAAGGCAGTCTTCACAGGAAAAGATATGTTGGGAGGGACTTTTCATGATAAATATTTTTTCATTAAGAAATAGGAGTGGACAATTCAAGGAGAAACATTTCCGGAAAGAGAAGTAGAGACACGTGACACAGAACTATGTTTCCAAAACAGTAAATTTCCCCATGTCACTGGGAGGCAGGGGCATTGCTTAGGCCAGCATAGAAGTATCTTAAATGCCATGTAAAAGAAGTCAATATGTAAAAGATGGACAGTTACCCTGAATTCAGAAATGAAAGTGACAAGCAATGGAAGGATCTTCCTCCGGCCTCCCACTGCAGGAGGAGGCCGAGGGCCAGAGCCAGTCCTGCCTTGGCAAGGCCTTGTTAGCAGGAAGAAATCAGCCTCAGGTCCCTGTTTCCAGGGACAGCAGCAATCTGTGGGGGCAGGAACCCTGGATTGGGGAACCTGCTGTGGGACACACAGTCAAAGGGGATCTCTCTCTTCTCTTGGCTCTGGATTTCCCTTCAGATTCCCCCAGCTCATCTCCTGCCATGGTGGGAGAAGACAGAGATGCCTTGCCTTGACCCCACTCGTGATGGTAAGGACTGGGGATTCACATTGAGGTACAATTGGGAGCACTGTCCTTTTGGACCAAGCAGAGTGAGGGCCAAGAATACAGGGCAGGCATGAGCAGGTCAGGGCTCGCAGCTCTGTTGTGTCTGTGGGGGACACTGGAGGAAAGGAAGCCTGTTTTGCAGGAAAGGACCCCAGAAGGACAATTCCTCCAAGCAGTACCTTCCTCTCTGAAGGGGACTCCCTGAATGAGGGACTAGTTTTAAAAAGTGTTCAAAAACCATAGAGACCACAGAATCATTAACTAGCAGGAGATACACCCTTTGCCAAAACCATATTTTTAACAATGACAAATGAGGAGCAGCAAGTTGGGTATAGGGTGCGCTTGTCCTGCGATAAACGGGTGCGGTGCACACAAACAACTCCGCACACACACTAATATAAGCTGCTAGAAATCGCAGACTGTAAAAGGACAAAACAAACTGAGCACTCATCATTTTCAGAAACAAAATTGGGACCAAACAAAGACAAGAGGAGGCATCTTCTCACTGTGTCCCCTTCCCAACGCTTGACGCCCACCTGGACCATCCGCGCGCACCGTCCAGTGGAAACGCCCGGGCCACTTCACACCGCCCTGCTCAGCGCCCAGGCGGGGTCTCCAGCAGAGAAAGTCACCCTGAAGAGATGATGCAATGACACCTGAAACCCCCAAAATGAGCAGCCAGATTTGGCCTCAAGGAGAGACTTTGTTCTTGGCACAAAAAGGGGGTGAGCTCTGGGGCGCTGCTCACTCCCCTGGGTCCCTCTCCACTTCCACTCTACTGCGGGCAGCTCCTCAGTGTGCCCATTGCTGTCTGCTAAGAAGGGTGTTTGTTATTATCCCGCAGCAATAAGTTAATGAGACAAAGCTTGTGATCCGAGTTGCCTCAGAAGGGTAAGAATTTTGCACTTTTTCAAAAGACCTGTTTTTGAGATATTTTAATCACACGTGTGTGTCTGTTTTTCTGTTGTTTACCAAGGCTCAAAGGCCTATTAAAAGTTAAAGCCCCGGGCCTCCCCGGTGGCACAATGGGTTAAGAGGCAGCACTATGAAGCGATCTGCAGCCGCTGCAGCACGAGTTCAAACCCTGGCCAGAGAAGTGACCCACATGGCGCAGCAGATCTCGCCTGCCTAGCCTGTGTTCCCCTCAGCAGTATATTTCAGTACATCTGCCTGTTCTACTCCCCACTCTGTCTCTGACGAATCCTTTCACCTCCCGCATCTCTTACCTGCACCCCAGCTCTTATGTGCATAAATAAATAAATCTTCAAATTGAATAAATAAAAGATAAAGCCCCTCTCAGGCTAAGTGGAACAGCCTGCGCATTCTCATCGCAGCAAGCCCATGGCGCCCTCTAGCGGGCAGTGCGGCAGATGCACCGCTAGAGGAGAAAGAGGTGGAGCCGCCAGGGCAAAGCAGCAACTTGCCTAGATCAGGACCAGAGGCTTCGGAATTTTTGATAGATTGGAGCGCCAGATCAAATTGACACAAAGCATCAGCCTAAGGTGCGGCCAAGTCTTCCCGAAATGGATGTTCGCCCACCCCCACCGCGCACACGGCGCACCTACCTTAAGTTGTGCTGACGTGAAGTGAAACTCAGCCGAGTTTTGTGCCCTTCACCCACTAGGCTGCCTCTTAATTTGAACCATGAGCTACCGTGGTTATAGCATTTTCTGGAGACAGAGGGGGTAAGGGGGAGTAGAGGTGTCCATCTGTGCCCAGCTGGAAGGCTTCCCAGTTCTGGAGAACAAGGGGGACGGCCTGAACATGGAGGAGAAGGAAGCCCCTATTTTGGCAATGGGCCTCCCCAGTCCTGGCCACTTCCCACCCACCCTACACCCCCAGTCCAGGGGCTTGCAAATGAGCACGTGGCAGGTGTATCTAATTACAGCCTGTCCTGTGGGTAGGGGTTATGTAGTGGCACTAAAGATAGAACAAAACCCATTCTCTTTTCAAGAAAAAAGAGAGACCATATTTCGTGGCATTATATTGCTTTCCTCCAGGTAGAGGTGACAAAATTGAGGTAAACAGCGAAACACTGTTTATCACAGAGCAGGGCTGCTGCCGGGGAGACCCTCACAGAGCTGGTGTCACCAGTGTCTCGAGGATGGGGTTTGTGTGAGAGTGTAGTGGAACAGGGTAGAGAGACTGCTTGTTCCCAACACCATCCTATCAGATGAACTTTCTAACCATTTATTGAAATCCATTTAAGTGAACTTGGGGTGGGACCTGGGAATTTGGAGATGATTTGTAAAGACCCCATGAGACTGTAACGGGCAGCCCAAATTGGGTCAGGGAGACATAATTCCACCCTGGGCCCAGGCTGTGACCTGTCTCGTGCTGCCTGGAGCAGTGTGGGCTCCACGGGCTTAAGGGGAAGGGGAGGAAGGAGGAAGGGGCAGGACAGCATGAGGAGGAGGAGGAGAGACCAACCATGTCCACTAACATCAGCTGTTTACTTCAGAAAGAAATTGCTGCCTCCAACCTAGTATGCTGTTTTGAGGATCTTGTCTCTGAGATGCCAAATCCAGCAGGAGGACAGACAACCAGAAGGTTGAGACTGTTCCGCTGGCACCTCAAGAAGGTAATGGAAACAGGACTGGGAGAGGATGAGACCTTCCCCATCTCTCATCAGTGTGCTTCCTGTGCCTTCTTGCCGTTCTCAGGAACATTCTCACTTCCTCTGCTTTCCTGTCTCACCCACATGGTGTGCAGATGCTCGTGACACCTGCCATTTCTCTCTGAAACATAACCTGCTGGTGGAGGAAACCCACGATGCCAGTCGGACATGACCAGTCAGTGTTGAATTGCACATATCAGCTTCCAGGAGACTCTTCCTCTTCTGAACCTTGTCGTTTTTATTTATTTTTTTTTTATTTTTTGAAAAGATTTATTTTATTTATACAAGAACCAGAAGACAGGCCAGATTGGCGGGAGGGTGAGAGGATTCACCAGAGACAGAGTGGGGAGCAGAACAGGCAGACTGACTGAAATACACTGCTGAGGGGAGCAGCGGGCGTGACAGGAGAGGTCTGCGGCACCATGTGGGACACTTGCCGGAGGGCCGGGATTGAACAGGTGCTGCGGAGGCTGCGGACAGTTCACAGCACGGTGCTCAACTGCCTGCACCACCAGGGGAGGCCCCCTTTATCATTTTTAGAAAAAGCACCATCTGACCATTTTTGCTTTCAAGTAGATACACATGTGAAGAAGTTACAACTCAAGATTTAACTCCTGAAAGGGTGAGCAAACCTGATGTGTGGGCTAGCAGCACAGTCCCCAGAGCAGATTCCAGGGTGGCCATGACTGAGGTTCTCTCCTGATATGTGCTGACCCTGCCAGGACAGGTGTCCTCTGCCCTCTGCCAGGAACCCCTACTCAGGGCATGTCCCCGCCCCACCCCACCTACTCTCCTGTGTGCAGGCCTCTGCCTGGATCAGTGATACCCAGAGAAAGGTCCCCAGGGATCCTGAGGTGAGCACCACATGAGAGCAGGTGAATGTGAGACCAACATGCAGCCAAATTCAACCTGAGCCTGATAACACCCCCTCTACCTTGTCCCCTTAGCAGGAGAGAAAATGAAGAGTTTGGGGGTTAGTTAGAAGAGTAAGATAAACTGAAGAGTAAGTCTGGCTAAAGGAAATAATACAAGCAGAGTCTTGAACTTTCCTTCACACCCTCCCCACCCACCAACGCACCCTGCCCCCATCCTAACTAAGGAATGAGATCCCCATTTCCACATCCAAGGATCCCAGCCCCTCTCACCTGCAGGTCTTCTCCTCACACAGATACCCCCAGGCCTAGGGATTCACGGGACTAAATAAGAAAAGCACAGTCACAACATTCACAAATGCTAAAGACAAAGACAGAACTGGCCCAGCTGTTGAATGGCCTGTCTCTCTCCAGGGGCAACTGTAAAAAGGGTCAAGGGAAATGAAGAAGTGGGGACAGTAGAGTCCAGTCTTCTCAGTGCCTGTAGAGAAGGGCTGCCAAGAAGGGAGCAGCGTGACCACAGGCCCATAGGCTGGGTCATGGGGAAGAGGCGCAGGGGAACTCAGGGAGCAGCCAGACCCCACAGTCCAGAGAAGGAGGGAGACATGGGAACTCCCTTCTGGGGGACCCAGCAGCAAGAAAAGCAATGGCTGGGCAGCCGCAGCCCTGGCTGTGCCGAGATGAGGAGCAGGGGAGGGGCAGGGCACGGGCCTGTCGGAGGCTCCAGAGGCTCCTGTGTCCGAGGCAGGGGTGACCTCACACCAGGGATGAGCAGCAGGTGGCACATTCACCACCCCCCACGCTGGTGTCCTCCCCAGAGGCAACTGTTCAAGCACCCCCTCCTCAGACGACCATCTGGGGCACTGCAGTCTGGGGCTGCCAGTTAGAGCACGTGCACAAGCTGGAACCCACTTGCCCTCAATCTGATGATCTCAGTCCCTTCTGCTCCAACATTTGATGTTTGGCTCTTCAGTAAAGAGCTTCCATATTTCTGACTTAGTACTAGCTCACTCAGAGAAAAACAAAGTGGAAATTTAGCATCATAACTTCACAGATCCCTCCTCCCTACCCTGAAGGTGAGCAGGGTCCCCTGACATCCTGCTGTTCTTCCCTCTTCAGGGATTATTGTACTTGAGCCTCACCCTGTGTCAGGTCACCCAGCAGGACAGTGTCCCAGACTGTATCTCATTTAAAAGTTTTTTCTTTTTTTTTTTTAAGAGATAACATTGGTTTTCATACCACATATGACTCGTGGTACAGGGTCACCCCTTCTTTATATGTATGTTACCAACCACACCCCCACCAGGTCACCCACAATCCTATAGCTCTCTTCTATCTGAAATAGCCCACACTTAAAATTTCATCCTGGCTTCACAGAATCTCTAGCAAAGGAATATTCTCAGGTCACTGACAACTAGGGTCAGAAGAGCAGGCACTTGATTTCGCCTCATGTTGCTCCCCAGAACTCCCTGATTCCCAGCTCTCAGCTGGGAAGCATCACACAGACAGGCAGCTTCAGGTTGCAAGTGTGTTTTATTGAAAGAGGAGGTTAACATGGGGCCCCACACAAGCTGTGTCTCACTCCCCAAAGCCATGTGGTGCAAGCTTCAGGCAGGGATGCTGGTGGGGGATGGCCAGGAGCCCAACTTGGGTTATTCCCATTTGGGCAAAGAGGGAAAAGCTCGGGAGAGTGGGGGCCATGGGGATCGTTGGAGGTGGGGTGCATTTCTATCAGGCCTTAAGTCTCCACACGATCAAGGTGTATGGGCTCACCCCGGTCACTGCAGGCAATGGTGATGTGTCCTGTTTCCAGAGTGGTGGTGTAATCCAAGGGCCCCCGGCTCATTGCACAGTATATGAGATTCATTGGGGAAGTGCTCCTGTGGCAGTTCATGTTGCCATTCTTGCAGCGGACACTTGGCAACTCGCAGATAGCCTGGACAGCATCCTGGGACGCGCGCACAAATACATTAAAGTCTCGGTCGAAAATCTGCCTAGCCCTCATTTGATTGTGACAGTAGGTGGAGGGAATGATATTATGGCGTGGATGGGATTCCAAGTGCAGCCGCTGGAACCTCACAGGCCCAGTCTCCCTCAGCGAGGAAGGCTGGGCCTCTACCAGCACCAGCAGCACCAGGACCAGCAGTGAGAACAGGACGAGGGACTTCAGAGCCATGGTGGCCGCGCTCCGCTGGAGGCCCCACCTGGGAGAGGAGAGAGGAGGAAAAGCCGCCCCTTAGGAAAAGGACCCCGCTGGGCTCCAGGTCACAGTTACCCCTTAGATCAGCAAGAAATCACCCTTTTCCCTGTGAGATCTGCCAAGTTATCAGACACTGTTGTTCTCAAGAGCATTTTCTCCTGCTTGCTAGAGAAACTCCAACCTCCCCGCTGTGGGTGAGCGCCAAAGTGCCAAACCCTGGGCTCCCTGGTGGTGCAAGGGGTTAAGACACAACCTATGAAGCAATCCGCAGCCTTTGCAGCACGAGTTCCATCCCCAGGCCGGCCAGGGAGCAACCCACATGGCATAGCAGACCTCTCCTGCCTCGCCTGCTGCTCCTCTCAGCGGTGTATTTCAGTCAATCTGCCAGTTCTGTTCTCCACTCTGTCTCTGGTGAATGCTCTCACTGCACCTCTGGCCTGTACCCCAGCTCTTGTATGCATAAATAAGTATATCTTTAAATAAAGTCACCAAACCCTGGCAGTCCTGTGACTACTGAGGTGTTTTGATGTCAAATACATGTGTACCCTGTGCTCAGCCACCTCAATAGCAGATCTTTTCAAATAAACCATGGGCTGTCCTGACACTCAGGATCAGGCTGACAGAGCCTCCTGTCCTCCAGCTCAAGGACACTCAACCCAGGCCTGACACTGGCCTCAGAGAGAGATGCCACGTGCTGCACAGAGAGAGGCTGGCCTCCCCCACCCTGGAACTGTTTCTTCCCCAGCCCCGCAGGGTCTCTTTGCAGCTGCTAAGCTCTACCTTGCACCCTAGCTCTGCCTGGCCCAAGCTGCCTCAGCGCTGTCCTCTCCCCTCCTGCTCCTGCCTCTCCACCCTCAAGCAGAAACAGCTCCAGAGACCACCTGGTGGGCACTCACCTGGCTTCTAACTTGGTCTCTGGAGAGTGGAGGCCAGTTTCTGAATCCAGGGTCGCTGGGGGTTCAGATCTTATAGAAACTACAAGGGGTGTGGCTGCAAGAAGGGAAGAGTGGGAGGAGCATCAGAGGTTGAGTCCACAGGAGGAGGAGGATAATGTGACAGGGGGGATTTGCCCAGGCTTCCCTCTGCTGGGAGGAGCCTCTCTCCCATGTGGATCATCTGGTTGCAGGTTCACCAGAAGGAACAGGAAAGATCATACAGCACTGATGCCTGAATCCCAACCTAGCCCTGGCTTTCTTTTTGTGGCCATTTTCAACAATTAGCTCTTGAAGTAAACGAAGTGCCTGTAACTTGTGATCTCAGGGGAGTGGGGGATGGAAGCCTCTCTCTGTCCAGGAGTCCTGGTACAGATTGGACTGGAATCCACATCATCCATAGTAGTTTTCCTGGAGACAGAGGGAGAAGAGAGGTGTCCAGCTGTGCCCACATAGAAAGGCTCACCATTCTGGAGAAAAAGGGAGGAGAGCCTGAACCAGGAAGAGAAGGAAGCCTCTAATTTTGCAGTGGGCCTCCCCAGTTCTGGCCACTTCCTGCCCACCCTTCACCCCCAATACAGAAGGTTGAAAATTTTTCTTGGCTAGTTTACTATAGTGACAATTTGTCCGGGGTGTAGGGCAAAGTAGAGGAAATAAAATAAAACAAACGCTAAATCACTTTTGGAGAAAAAAATAGAGAACATCTGATTTCTTCCATCCTAGAATGAGAATTGTTTAATTTTAGTTTGATGTTTTCTACTGAGTGCCAATTTAAATAACTCAGACAAAAATATAACAAAATTCGGGCCTCCCCGGTGGCGCAGCGGTTAAGCGCGGGGTTGCGAAGCTGCCCGCGGCCTCTGTGGCGCCGGTTCGATCCCTGGCTGCTCCCCGGCCACCGGAGGAGGGTCCCACATGGCGTGCAGACCTCTCCTGCCGCCCGCTGCTCCCCTCAGCAGTGTACTTCGGTCCTTCTACCTGCTCTGCTCCCCGCTCTGGCTCTGGTGAATTCTCTCACCCTCCCGCGCTTCTGACTGTACCCAGTGCATGTATAAACAAAACAAACAAACAAACCAGCAAACAAATAAATAAAGCATGCCTCTATTAAAAAAAAAAAAAAAAAATATAACAAAATTCTCCCTCTGTTCTCTGGATTTAGACAGCCTCGGCCCAAATTCTAATGTGGCACCTTAAGAGCAGGGCAAATTATAGAATTTAATTTCCCTCTCTGAATTGCCTCATTTCTAAGCTGGGGTTGTTCACTTGAACCTCTGAGATTTGTTACTAGGACAAAATAAAGCAGACAGAATCTTAGAGCAGTGCCTAAAGCATCAATATGTAACTATGTGATTGATGACTTGGGGGGGAGATTGAAAAATTCCTTAAGACGTGAGTTAAACAACAGTAGGCTGAGCCTTCTGAGATGCTGTCTACACAGGGCGCAGTCTAGGGACACCACACTTGCTTTGCTCAAAACCTGAGCTGTAATTAGCAGTTACCTTTGAAGCTCTGGGAAGAGAAGAGAGAGACCTGCTAGGAAGAACAGAATGCTTTAAGTGGATTTTTTTATTATTTTGAGATGATATCCAAGAAATCTATATAGTCAACATTATTGTCTTATGTGCATGGATTTGGATATGGACGTGGGTCAGGGAAGACCTGGTGGGATTTTAGCTTTATGCTCCTTCTCTCCCCCACACCCCAAATCTACTCAGGTTTTGTCTGTTCTTAGTCTTCAGAGCCAAAGGGGATCTCTCTCTTCTCCTGGCCATGGATTTTTCCTTTGGATTCCAGCAGCTCTTCCTACTGTGGTGGTAGAAGACAGAGATGCCTTGCTTGACCCCACCCGTGATGGTAGCGGTCTGGGGACTCGCATTGAGGTCCAATTGGGAACACTGTCCTGTTTGACCAAGCAGAGTGGAGGACGAGAATATAGGGCAGGCATCAGTCGGTCAGGGCTCCCAGCTCTGTTGTGTCTCAGGGGCACACTGGAGGAAAGGGAGCCTGTTCAGGAGGACAAAGCCCCCAGAAGGACAGTTCCTCCAAGCAGTACCTTCCTCTCTGAAGGGGTCTTCCATGCCCCTCCATCAAGGAAGCCAGGCCTTGCTTTAAATCAATCATTTGCTTAGAAATTGTGTCAGTCACTTGTCTTCCAGCTCCTGCTTTTCTCCTGTGTTAGTCATCAGTGACCAGGAGAAGAACAGTACCATACTGGCCAGGAGAACTTGTCAAGAGGCAAGCCATATAGGTGGGGAAGAGAAGAGAGCCCGGCATTGTGCGGTGGAGGGGCCAAGTTTCACATCTATTTGAGGGGCCTTTTATAAAGTCACCAAGTCCAGCCCTCTGTCCTCTGGCTGATCTGCTTTGATCTTTGGCATACATAATGCCTTCCTTCATTACAAGCAACCTTGTAGTAAACCCCAAAGTGGAAAATATATGGATCATGTAGTGTTTTCAGAGCTTTACACACCTCTACAAAACCTGGACTGAGGATCAGGTTTCTGACTTTAGCTAGTAATTACACAGCTGGTAAGGCAGTTATTTTTTAACTTCTTACATCATACCATTTCAACACAAACTATTACACTTTCTAGGAATCCTACCCATCTAGGTTTCTTAATATAAAGTGCTAACTAGCAGTCATGTGGCAGGAGATAGCTCACAAACTCTGAGGACCTCCAGCATCACCTTCTACTCCCAGCAGTCAAATCGACTCCTATTCCTTTCTACAAATGTCCCCTTCTCTGCCTTCTTGGTTCACCGAAGAGGACACTCTGCTCAGACGATGCATTTCCTCACAAAATTGCTCGATTGCTTTTCATCCTCAGGAACGAAACAGGGCAAAACCCAGAGGCTCAGTCTGGATGCTCAAATTTGTAGAAACCAGGATGGAAGTGACAGATTTATTTAAGACTTGTTAAGATTCAGAATATGTCCATTTATTTTTAAGAATACAAAGAGGCTTCTCTAACACAATAAGTGTATCTAGATCTAGATGACTGGTGGATTCTTTGGTGAGCCCAATATGAAATGTTGGGCAGTTCCCTTCAGTGCTTTGTGATCAACCATCAGGTCTACTACAAAAAAGAGCAGAAGGGGCATTAAATACTTATCAACATTTATCCATCTGGACATTTGTTTCCCACATTGGAAGCAGCTAATGAGGCCAACAATGAGATATTGTTTACAAGAAAGACGTAGACAAATCAATAAAATATGAAAGAAAATGGTTAGGAAATTTTAATACAAAGAAAATACTAAAGCATCTTCAAGAGATGTTTTCAAGTAGGGAAAGTCAATGTATTTTAAACTTCAAGAATTATTGTAACAGTTTAGAAATACAAAGTAATAAATGTATTTTTTGTAAAAAGCTTTACATTTTAAATAGCTACATAAAAAGTAGACAACTATGTCGTGACAGGAGCATTAATAAACACACACTGGCACACAAATCTAATGTGACTAAAAATTACATATATGGAAATTGCTACTCTTTGAAATGAAGAAAGATGAGGTTGGCAACAAAAATGATGGCTGACATGGTGCTTATAATACAATCTAGCATTTGTTTTCTTTGGTTTTTTTTCTTTTTTAAGATTTATTTTCATTTACTTATGCTGTAGGAAAATAAAGTGTTAATGTCGTTTTGCCGGGGACATTGGAAGATGTGCGACCACCTTTTGGCCCCCTGGGCCGGGAGCCTGGCCAGCGCCGGGACCAGGAGCCAAAAGATAGGGCTGGTTATGTAACTGTTCGCGATGTCCGGGACCACCAAGAAATAGATTGGTTATGTAAGTCCGGGGCATTGTGCACAGGAATGTGGACAGCCCACCATGAACCCCTGGGCTTGGATACTGGCCATATCCGACCTTGGGAGAAAAAAACACAGTGGTCGCCTAGCTGCTGCTGCTTGCAGCTGGTGGACGTGGATATGTCTCCCATGCTGTTCTCCGGAGTGCTGACTTTTTTTGCCTCCGTGTTGCTGTTCTCCAGAGTGCTGACTTTTTGCCTCGGGGATGCTGTTCTCTGGAGTGCTGACTTTTTTGCCTCCGTGATGCTGGTCTCTGGAGTACTGCCTTTTTGCCTCCAGATGCTGTTTTCCAGAGTGCTGACTCTTTTCCTCCGTGATGCTGATTTCTGAGGAAACTGTACAGTATGTATGCATGACTACCAGTTTGGTCGGGTTTGGGGCACTGTTTATAATTTTGCTTGTGCATCGCCTGTGTTGCTTACAATAAATCTTTTTTTCCTTTTAATACGGTGTGGTCATTGAATTCCACGGAATCGAGCCTCCCTCAAACACCTGTGCACAGGGCTAGCAATTATATTTTATTGCTAGTTACATAATTGGCATAGTCGGCAGGATTCCGTGTGATGATAAGGACCATGCCTTTCTTTGCTAAACATTCGCCTCAGGTCACTGTTGCTGCCCAGGATATTCCTGGGTGGGAAGATCCAAGCTTTGCTGCTTTGGCTAAGGAATGGGCAGTGGGGAACGGCCTTAGTGAGTCTTGGGACGGTCTGCTCCAAGATGTGCTGCCCTGCCGCAATTAATCCGGGCCCTTCAGAAGGTCCCGGTTGAGAAGGGGAAAGAACCAGGAGCAATATCCCAGTGGGCCTGGTTGTTGTTATCTGCTTATGACCGCTTATGCCATAGATTGGATGATATGATTGTTGAGAAATGTGACTCGAGCACAGGCCTTAATGGATAAGGGAGTGGAGGCCACCCTAATTTATGGAAGCCCTAAAAAATTTAAAGGAATGGCTATCATCATACAGGGTCTGGGGGGAAAAGAGATTCGAGCCACCCAGATCACTATATGTATATTAGTGGGTTACCCCCAAAATCCTATTCAGTAGTAATCATTCCAATTCCAGAATATATCATAGGGACATACTAAAGGGAATGTCATTACACTTGAAAAAGACGGGGATTATCATTTTGCATTTAAAACGTTAATAATAGGGCCTCCCCGGTGGCGCAGCGGTTGAGCACTGGGTTGCGAAGCTGCCCGCAGCCTCTGTGGCGCCGGTTCGATCCCCGGCTGCTCCCCGGCC